GTGTGTGTGTGTGTGTGTGTGTGTGTGTGTGTGTGTGTGTGTGTGTGCAGCGACAAAACCCTCCTCCTTCCTATTTTCTCTCTCAAGGTTTAGTCTTTGAGCTCTAACTAGCCCTTTGAGATTCCAAATGCCATTTCATGGTCTCGAGCATTGGCAGCACGTGGGAATGTGCAGACCTGGCTCCAGAACGCCACCTTAATTTTTAGGAAGCTATGCAGACCTCCAAGACATCGATCGCATCATCTGCCGTGATTTCAAGAATCTACATTTTGAGGGCACTGTTGCAACTGCCAGATCGAGACCAGCAAGGACCTAAAGTGGGGGGGGGGGGCACGGGATCAGTAGGGTCTCCTGTAAGTCAAATGCTCACTGAGCAGAGAACCCTCCACACATCCAGAGATGTCACAGCTAAGCTGTAGGGCAGCGGCAGCTTCAGCCACCGGACAGTGGGCAGTTTTGGCGTTTTGGGTGTTTTCCTCGCCCCGCGCACCGCACAGTGCAGTCGTTGTACACACGTAGCCATGTCCATAGGACTTGGAGTGGAAGGATCAGAAAAAAGGTCGCAGCGAGGAGAAAGAAAGAGCCAGCGCCTCGGGACGGTAAGTCAGGCCAGGCCTCGGCTTCAACAGGGCCGCTCGTCCCCTCGGCCGGGAGTTGTCCGTTTCACCTCCGGCAAGCGGATGCCGGACCTCGCTCCCCCAGACCGAGCCCGAGGATCCTTCAGGCCAGGACGGCCTCATCTCAAGGGAGGCAGAACCGCGGCCAGGACCACACCTCCATGCTGTAGCTGGTCCGCCCACAGCAAGGAGGCAGCAGGACGCCTACACCCGCCCGGGAGGACGCAACTCAGTGACGTAAGGCGCGATGAAATTACGTCAATCGGTGCAGGGGCGGGCGACCTGACGCAAGCGACTCACCAGGAAATATCAACTCAAGGCTGTACGCATGCGCTGTGATTAGAGGAGGGTCGTGCGCTTGCGCAATGAACCCCAAGACGCGGCGCGTGCGCACTGGTGTTTTGGGCGATGGGCGGGGTGTGGACGCCTTCGCTATGGCAGCCCGCGGTCTTTCTCAGTCTTGGGCTTCCTGACGCCTCCAGCAAGCGAGGTCTCTTGGGCCAGCTTCGCAGTCATGTACCCACCGCCGCCGCCGGCGCCTCACCGGGACTTTATCTCGGTGACGCTGAGCCTGGGCGAGAGCTACGACAACAGCAAGAGCCGGCGGCGGCGCTCATGCTGGAGGGTGAGGCGGGGTCCGGGCAGGGGACATCCTGCGGTGGGTAGCGTCCAACTGGAGCCTGGACCCTGGCGTCCGGGTCTCTTCCAGCTTGAAGTTCCCCTGCCGCGTCTGGTTCTCGCAGCTTGGGTTCCGGTGTTGTTGGGTCCCCTGTCTAAAGCCAGGTGTTTCTGGTGGTCCTTGGCTGAGGGGCACGGGTCCAGCATGTATGGTCAGATGCATGGTTCGGTCGACGCCCGAGCCAGGGCATGGGAATTTCAGGAGTTTTTCTCAATTGCATGTTCAGCTCAACAGATGGTGTACAGCTGTTGCCACGTATAAGCTAGTGTGCTCTGTCACCCCTGGTGCTGCCCCAGCCATGTAAACTTTGCTGACAGCGAACTTCCCTCAAGTATAGACACGCCGCAGGTTCTCTCTGAATTGCTGTCCTTCGAATCTGTGACAAGTGTCATTTCTGGCTCCCCCTCAGAAATGGAAGCAACTTTCAAGGTTACAGCGGAACGTGATTCTCGTCCTCCTGGGCTTTCTGATTATCTGTGGATTCTTGTCTTATCTTCAGGCGGCTGACCAGTGGAAAGGTATTGGAAATACCAGTGGTGTTAGGGACGTGGGGGTGCGGGCTGAGGTCAGATACATTCTTGCAGTCTAGTTGAGACAGTGCCAGGAGGCATATGAGGTATCAGATGAGCAAGAGGTGGGGGTGGGGGTCAGTATGGCCACCTGGCTGTGCAGCTGACTGTAGGCCGCTCTTCAGGTATTTGGTGCCAACAGTGCTGCCTCTCTCTGTCAGAGAATGTCAGTCAAGAGCATCAGCACTGCTCACAGGAAGCATCCCCACCACTTGTTACAGTGTGTTTGCCAAAGACCAACAGGTTTTCTGAGAAGATGCTGAGGATCCCTTCTGGGATTCGCTAGGGTTGCTGCTCTTGGAGATCCAAACAGTGCTGCAAATTGCTCAGATCAAGCTGTTTACCACCATGTTCTTCTATCCAGTGTAGACAATATGAAATTTATATGTTTGGGGATTTGTGTGTTGTGCTTAAGGACACATTCTGCCAGATGCTTGAAAAAGAATTGATTCAGCCTGACTGTAGTCCCAGCACTTGGGAAGTAGAGAGAAGGATCAGGAGTTTGAGACTAGCCTGGACTACATAAAACCCTACTTTCAATAAAAAAATGTATGTTTGTGTGTGTGTGTATGTATGTACGTACGTATGTAAATGCATATCAGATTTGATTCCTCTGGACTTTCTTGAATTCAGTAGCTTCTAGAAGATCTCACTGACCTAAAACAACACCTGTTGAGGCACCTCTTAGTGAGCTTATCTGGGCCTTAAGGTAAAAGATTTTCTTCCACAGCACTGAGTGGCACACCTGCAGAAGAGCAGAAGATGAAGCCGGAAGTCCCACCTGTCCTACCAGCTCCTCAGAAGGAAGGCGCTAAAGCAGAAGAGTTTCCGGCCGTAGTCCCCCAGGTATTTCCAGTAAAGATTGTGTTGAGTTGCCACTGGGGTCTGCTCTGGAGCGTTGCAAGTTGACAGACAGTGCCTCAAAGAGGCTGAAGGCTCAATTGAGGTTGTCTGTATAAAGCTGGGGAAAGAAGGGGCGGGCACTTGCTTCAGTTTCTCTGCAGAGCACGGTGGTCCAGCTCCTGTGTTAGGTGCTGACTGCCTGCTTATGAGGAAAGAGACTTTTCCCTTTGGAGGAACCACAGAAGCTGATAGGAAGGGCAGGTGAGAGGCTAGCAGCAAACAGTGTCAGACAGCCGGCACATGGCAGATTGCTGAGAGCTGGAACCATCTGGGGAACTGTTCAAGAAGCCCCCATTTCTGTCTAGGTTGAAGGAGATATTTGTAAAGTTGTGGTTCTGGTGGTGCCTGAGGGGTATGGCCAGTGCGCTCAGGAGATCTGAGGAGGGAGTAGAGCCATGCTCAGGTGGCGATGCTTCACAGTGGAGGAAGGTGCTACACAGTTAGGTCATGGTGTGGGGATAGAGTGAGGGTCCCCGTGCAGAGGGACACGTGAGAAATGAACAGGAGCCAGTAGAACACTGAGGTGCTCCATCTGACTGTTGTGTTGTGCCTAGAAGGTGGTGTGGAGACAATGTGGGTGGGTGGTATTAGAATCACCTGTTGGGCAGTCATGTCTGGGGAGTCCTGGGTAGAGGCAGCATAGTTTATCTAGGAGAGGTTTTGGGAACAGCCCAGCCTCATCCTGGGGTATCCACTCTGAGAAGTTTAGGATTATGGGGAGTGGAGCCTAGAGGTAGGTCAGAGGCAACTAGAGAGCCAGTTGCCGAGAGCTGATCTGTGGTAGAGATGGCCGGACCTAGGTTTCCTGAGAGCTGAGGCAGTTGCCCACAGCAGTTGGGTTCATCTACACCCTGAAACCTTTGGCTGTCTGTTGCTTTTTTCTGTATCACATAGCAGATGTTGTAAAACTTCAACTTCTCCGTGGGTGGAGTCTTGCACACAGGTGGAGGTTTCATATCCTTGTAGGCTATGCAAACAGGAAACCCTTGCTAATGGCCTCTCTAGGGAATTGCTTTTCCAGTACCAGTTCCCGAATTGAGACATAGACACATATTGAGATCCAACATGGGGTTGTCGTCCTGGTGAATTTGGGGGTGCCTTCATTCTGAACAGGGAATGTTGTACATTTTGTTTTCAGAAAGCTTGTCGTTACTAAGTTGCTGGATACTCACTAGAAAGGACAGGAGAGTAGACCAAGTCTGTGTTGGCAAGCCCCTTGGTCAGGACATAGCGAGCGGGTAGGGTTTGGAAAAGGACAATCAGAGTGCTGCCCCTGTAGGACTGTTGATACAGCTTTTGAGTGACAGACTTGCTTCTAGACAGACCTGTGCATATGGTGGTGATGCTTCCAGTTTCCTTGTGTTTTTTCGGGAGATGCAGCACACGTCAACTCACCCCAGATAGGGATCCTACAATAGACCAAAGTACAGATACTACCAAAGTCCAATGACTTTTACTGGGGTTACTTACAGGATTATGGGGGAGAGGTTACTTACAGGTGAAGAAATGATCCAAAGGCAGCTGCATCACCAAAGCCCATCCCAGCATGAGTGACAGTTCACATATAATAAGCTGGGACCCTGGAGCACACTGCACAGCCTGCAGGCAGCTCAGCAGGTTGGAGAGTGTCCTTTCCAGGTGCCTCTGTTGGTCTCAGCCTCTTCCCGGCAACTTGGCTGGCTGCTGCTTCTTTCAGGCAGGTGGTCTGGACTGGGTCTTTGCAGCTTGCCTTCCCTGAGGGTCTTCACTGCAGCTCTGCTCCTCTGAGGGGAACTCTCAGCTTTTATTGCTTCCTCAGAGTGGGGCCTAGAGAATCTGGTCAGTTTCAGGGGCTTCCTGCCTAGGGAGCTTCCCTGCAGGATGGAATATTTCCATCAGGTGGATACTCCTGCTCTGGATTTTCCTGTAAATTGTAATGTTGCCAAAAGCAAGAGATAAGTATCCTAAGTTTTTTTCCAGTGGTTCAGTGTGCTGCCTTGAGCAACTTTATGGACTTTGTCATGTGCTCAGCCTCTGACACCCCCCCCCCCCCCCCATCCTCCCACTCCCCCACACCCCCACCTCCGCAGGGAGGAAATAGTTTTCTCATGTTTGCACGCTAACTGATTTCAGTGTGGTAAGAAGGAGGATTGGAATGCTGATAAGACAGAATGGAAGGCATTCATTGTCACCCTACTTAAGGCAATTTTTTAAATATTTGGTGTACTTTAGTAGATTTAATTGGGTGCACACATTTGAGTACAATTGGGGATTAGGTATCATGTGGATTTATTTACTTATTTATATAGTTAGTTTTTCAAGGCAGGTTTCTTGTGTAGCCCTGTATAAACAGAGGCAGAGCTTTCCTTTTGTCCCAACTGTCTAGTCCCAAATAATTTTACAAAAGTTTATATTAATTACAGAATGTTTGGCCTATAGCTTAGGCTTATTATTACTGATTATTTATTAATATTAATTATTTTTTTATTATTAGTTCTTAGAACTTAAATTAACCCATGTCTATTAATCTACATTTTGCCATGTGGTTTTGTGGCTTTTCCTGTTCTCTAGCATGTCTTGTTCCTCTGGTGGCTGGCTCATATCTCTCCCGACTCCACCCTTCTTTCTCCCTGTATCTCCATTTGACTTTTCCGCCTTGCCTTGTTCTGCCTGGCTATGAGCCAGTTCAGCTGTATTATTAACCAGTGAGAGGAATGCATGTTCACAGCATACAGAAGGTTTATCCTGCCTGTCCTGGAATGGGATCTGTAAAGCAAGCTGGTCTTGAACTTAGAGAGTAGCCTGCTTCTGGAGTACTGGAATTAGGTCTGTGTTGTGTACATTTTCGTCCTGAGTTTTAGTATCTTCTGTCATGTAAATTTTTATAGCTGGGTCATCTATTGCATGTATGTATGTAATGTAATAAATGTAATTTCCCAAATCATTTATTGAGGATATAAATAAAGCTAAGGGTAAATTTCTGTGCCTGATGCTATGGAGCACAGAATGAGTCTGGAAAATACACTGTCCTGTTGCCAGGACTACTCTGAGGGGAGGGTGGCAGTGGGGACCTAGCTCTATCATTTGCAGTCCCCCCCCCTTTCTTTTCTTTGTTTTTTTCTTTCTTTCTTTTTTAATTTATTTTTCAAGACAGGGTTTCTCTGTGTAACAGCTCTGGCTCTTGTGGAACTCTGTAGACAAGGCTGGCCTCTGCCTCCTGAGCGCTGGGATTAAAGGCATGTGCCACCACTGCCCAGCTATTTGCAGCCCTTTGATTTGTGAGAACCCAAGGCTTTTTGCATTTTCTCAGATGGAGTGAGTAGCCCTGGCTGCCATCCACAGTGTCTTTATCTTAGTCGTTCTTATCCCTCTAGGACTGTTTCAGTTTTCAACTGTTCCCACCAGGGCTCTCAACTCTGTAGCCAGGCCTGCACTAGCCATTTGGTATTTCACCAAGTCCTAAGCAGCTCATCTCTCAAACCTGCAGACTGCTAAAAAGTGCAGCCAGTTCCCCAAGGCTTTGGTAGAACACAACAGCACACTGTCCTCTCTGGGTGTGAATACATGAATACATTCTGAGGGACAGAATCTTCTACATACAGAGAAGCCCAGGCCATGACAGGTGATGTATTTTCACATGTAACTCTGATATTGGTTTAGAAGCAGCAAAGGCATTTCCGGAGGGGCCCACCCCACCTGCAGATCAGACCCCCCAACACAGTCTCCAAGGATGAAACCCAGGATGATGCTAAGGAGAAGGAGACAGCCCTGGGGGATGCTCAGCAGGAGGAAAACACACAAAGGACCATCATCAGGTACGAGCAGGAGATGGGCCTGAATATGCAGTGTCTGATGCCAGCCTGTCTGGTTTTATTTTAATGAGAGTTCATTCTGTCCATGTCATAGTTCCCGTTTGAAACAGACCGTGTTCTAAAGATGGCTTCAGTAAGTTTTATTATACAATCAGTTTCAGAGCCACATGGTCTGAGAGCAGGACTATTTTAAGGCTTGTGAGGGTAGAAGGTCCAGAGGAATGGTGGGAAGGAGAAAAGTGAGACTCAGTCTTTTTCTGTGGCAGGTGCTGTGGGGTGACACCTGGTGACAGGCACTTCCTTTTCTAGCCACTTAAGACCTGGCAGTGAGCAGAATGAGAGGATGTGGCCTGGTTCCCTGGACTGGGCTGGCATTGTCAGCCAGCGAGTTGCTTGCTGGCAGTACTCACAGACGCCTCAGTCCTAGAAGGCCTTCAGCTTCACTCCTACTCAGTGTCACCCTTGAAAACATCAGGTGCAGCTCTACCAGGAGGTGTGCCCTCACCTCTGAGCCTGAGGAGCTATTCTGAGGATGTGCAACCTGAGGTCTCAAATCCACGAGCACATAAGGAGACAGGGTGGAAGTAGCAGCCTAGAAAAGTCCTAGGGAGAATAGCGGTTTGGAGAAGCTCTTGATCATGTTTGCAGGAGGAAAAGATTTGCTTCCACAGCCAGCATCTGATTCAGCTCAGTATTGCTTATAGTACTCTTAAAGACAGAGGAATGAAGGGGTAGTAGCTGAGCCTGGGTCCATTCTGCTCAGGTTGTTGAAGAGATCCTTTGAAGTGACAGAGAAGACTACCATGCCCCCTATATAAGCATAACATGCAAATCTGTGAAACATTCTGTATTATAAAAATTAAGGAAAGAGGTCAGGTAGTGTCAGCACATGCCTTTAATCCCAGCACTTGGGAAGCAGAGGCAGGTGGATCTCTGTGAGTTTGAGGCCACAGAGTGAGTTCCAGGATAGTCAATGATACTGCCTCCAAAAAAAAAAAAAGAAAAAAGAAAAGAAAAGAAAGAAAAAAGCCAAGCATGCTAGCATGCACCTTTAATCCCAGCACAAAGGCTGGTGAATATCTGTGAGTTCAAGACCTGATGTGTCCTCATAGCAAACTCCAGGTCAGCCAAGTCTACTCAAGAAAAAAAAAGAGGGGCGGGCATGGGGGCATGGATTAGAAGTTAAGAACACTGGTTTTTACAAAGGACCCAGGTTCAGTTCCCAGCATCCACATAGTGACTCAGAACAATCCATAACTGCAGTTTCAGGGGATCTGACTTCTTCCTCTGACCTCTGAGGGCACCAGGTACACACGTGGTACAAATGCATACATACAGGCAAATGTTCAATACACATAAAAATTAAGACAGACAGAAAAACAAATATACCATAGCAGCAACAAAAAAAGAAACCTTTGAGTCCACACTCAACCAGGTGTCATATGGCAAACCTTTGCCTGTTCCTGGTGTGCTATCATCGGACAGAACCCTAGAGGGACTCTCCAGATGTCATATCCGTGAGTAGAGACAGTGCCAGTCTAGGCAGCTACCCTGACTCCTGCACCCATCTAATTTCTCTCTGGGTGTTTTCAGTTTATTTATACCATAGCAGCTTCCACCTCTGGCCACTGCATCCGTCCCCAGGGTTGCTCCTTGTGTCTTCTCCAGATCTCAGGAGCTCCTCTGGCTTAGATTTCTGCTAGACTCTCCCTTATTCAGCCCTGGAATTGTCTTCTCCACATTCAGATGACTGTACCCAGGAAGCCATGTTCCAGATGAGTGTGTGTCAGGATTAGTTGGGTGTTTTCCTGTCTCTATGTTGTGCTCCCACAGTGATGAGAGAACAGGCCTCTGGGAGCAGGCGTTGTCTTAGGCACATTGTGGGTTTGGAGGGTGTAACATCAACTGGTTGATCTGGCTGACTGCTTTTTCCTGCTCCCCCTAAGCTGGCGGGGAGCAGTGATTGAGCCTGAACAGGCCACTGAACTCCCTTCAAAAAGAGCTGAAGCCTCCACCAAACCTCCTTTTCTGGCACCTAGGATGTGGAAAAAGCCAGGTGAGTTTTCCTGCTCCCTTTCCTCACTAGAGCTGTGCAGTTGTTACTCTACATGCTGATCCCTGCGCAGCTCCCCCTTCAGCACCCTTGCTCGGTCCACATACTTTGTACAACCCTTGTGACTATCTGTGACTTCTTAGTTCCCCTGATTTTTTTACCTGAGCACTGAGCTATCAGAGAGGATGCTGTGTTTGAGAAGTCTAACTTTGCCATTCTGCTCCTGGGCCAGGTTGTTCCTCAGTGTAAGAAGATACACAAGATTAAAGTTACACATTTTAATGATAGATTCAATAAAATAATTGTTTTGTTTTGTTTTGTAGACAGGGTTTCTCTGTGTTGCTTTGGCTGTCTTAGAACTTGTTCTATAGACCAGGCTGGCCTTGAACTCAGAGATCTACCTGCCTCTGCCTTAGAGTGCTGGGATTAAAGGCATGCACTACCACCACCTGGGCATCAATAAAAATAAGTGCCTTGTTAAAAATGCTGGGAATAGTGGCACGTGCCTTTAATCCCAGCACTTGGGAGGCAGAGGTAGGCAGATCTACAAAGCAAGTTCCAGGACAGCTAGGGCTGTTACACAGAGAAACCCTGTCTCAAAAAAAAAAAAAAAAATTGGCTCAGCGATTAAGAGCACTTATTGCTCTTTTATAGGTCCTGAGTTCAATTCCCAGAAACCACATGGTGGTTCACAACTGTCTATAATGGGATCTGATGCCCTCTTCTGACATTCAGGCATGTGTGTAGACAGCACTCATGCCTAAAAAAAATACATAATTTTTTAAAACCTTTTTAAAAAATTATTTATTTATTTATTTATTTATTATGTATACAATATTCCGTCTGTGTGTATGTCTGCAGGCCAGAAGAGGGCACCAGACCTCATTACAGATGGTTGTGAGCCACCATGCGGTTGCTGGGAATTGAACTCAGGACCTCTGGAAGAGCAGTCAGTGCTCTTAACCTCTGAGTCATCTCCCCAGCACATATAATAAATTTTTAAGAAAATATGAGATAGCCAGGCGATGGTGGTGCACACCTTTAATCCCAGCACTTGGGAGGCAGAGATAGGAGGATCTCTTGTGAGTTCAAGGCCAGCCTAGTCTACAAGAGCTAGTTCCAGGGCAGACAACAAAGCAACACAAAGAAATCCTGTCTTGAAAAGCCAAAAAAAAAAAAAAAAAAAGGAAAAAAAGAAAAGAAAATATGATACACAAGTGTCCCTTGATGTGTCAACTTGTTTCAACTTATTTCTAGACCTAACAGGTCTTTGGACGGGTCTGTGGGCCACTGGGATTGTAGCATCATTTATTGAAATCTGCTTGGTCCCAGCCTTGTGCCAAGAACTCTGTGTGTGTGCTAGCCCGTTTCCATTGTCATAGTGTACCTAGCCTGTTTCTGTTACGGTGTTCTTTGCGGTAAGAGATGTCTGTATAGCTCCATTGTACATATAGAAACTGAGACTGGCTAGTCCTGCGAGAGCCTGCTTACAGGAAGCTGAACCTCTGAGTCCCGGTACCACTTGCTGGGGCATGTAGAGACCACTGTGTTGGCAGTGGTAGGGTCAAACCATGTCCATCTTCAGGAACCTTAGAACCTGGTGGGAATAGGCATGTGGTGTGTCTCCCTAAAGACTGCTATGTGCTGCCTAGTTTGGGAAGAGAAGGCTCCCCATGGAGGTGAGGCTATATAGGTACTGGTGTATCTGCACCCGCCCCTGTCCCCATGGGACTGTGGAATCTCATCTGGTTGGATAATGTGTGTGTGTGTATGGTGTATGTGTGTGTGTGTGTGTGTGTGTGTGTGTAGGGTGTATATGGCACAGTGCCTAATGGCTGGTTCCTACTTACTCCAAGTTCACATCGCACACTCTGGTGGCCAGGCTCTGCATTCACCATCTACTTCAAAGGGCTTTGCTCTGCTTTGTTGTAGTGGACCATAGGAACGCTTCCCTGTTCCCCATGAACAGAGAGGCCCTGAGTCCTAGTGCCACTGTGTGTAGCCTGCAGAGGACTTGCTTGCTGAGGATCTGGTGCTGGGCTCTGGCCTCGGCCATCACTGCCTCACTGTAACTCACTCTGCCCATTTTATATCAAGATTCTGGCCAGATCCATCCAGTACTGTATCTGAGGGGGTCACAGCTGTTCTTTGACCCCTGCCTGCCCCAAGAGCGGGACTATTCCCTACCACTTGTGTGTTCTCCTCTCTAGGTCCCCCGAATGAGCGCCAGAAAGGGGTCATTGAGGCCTTTCTCCATGCTTGGAAAGGTTACCGAAAGTTTGCTTGGGGCCATGATGAACTGAAGCCTGTGTCCAAAACTTTCAGTGAATGGTTTGGCCTGGGCCTCACCCTGATCGATGCCTTGGATACCATGTGGATTTTGGGTTTGAAGAAAGGTAATGACTCTTTCTGACTGGACTGAGTTTCCATGTGTGACACATAAGGCAAAGCAGTATGTCAGGGCTCCATGTGGGCCACAGATGCTACTCCATTGGACTTTGGTTTTCTCTTGTCGTGGGTACAGAAAGTGTGTGCTTGGTGTGTTCAGAGCCCAGTTTCCATTCTGCCACTCACTCAGAGCAGCTGTCTCTTATGTCCTAAAGAGCTAAGGGTGACCTCGGCTCTCATTCAGCCTGTTTTGCTGCAGTAAGAGGGCTGCACTTGGCTCTGTATCTCGACGACGACCTCCTTAGGTTATGCAGATCCCATTTAATTTGATAGTGTGGGCCCTTAATCATTTCTAATTGAGAATTGTTTTTATTTTAAAAGATTTATTATTTTTAATTATGTGTGGCATGTGTGTCTGCATGTAGCTATGTGCATGTGAGTTCAGACGCCCTTGCAAAGCCAAAGACATCAGTTCCTCTAGAGCTGGAGTTGCACACATAAGTTATGAGTTTCCTATGGTGCTGAGTTGTCTTGTAGGAAACTGTCCTACAAGAGCAGCAGGTACCCTTAACTGCTGAGCTGTTACTCCAGCCCCAAGTTGTTTGAGTGGCTTGATGGCCGCTAGTGAGTCACTTCCGCGCTCATGTCAGAGCGTCTTCTGGGCACTGTGACACATACCAGAGCTGCTCCATGAGAGAGCCTTTTGTTTGGGATTATTTGTTAAATATATTGTTTTTGCGTGTCTGTGTGTGGGCGCCTGTGTGTATTACGGCACACATGTATAGGTCAGACACTAACTCGTGGGAGTTAGTGTTCTTCCACCATGTGGGTTTCTAGGATTGAACCCAGGTAGTTAGACTTGGTTGTAAGTGGGTAACAACCATCTCACCTACCCTGTTTGTTAAGACAGGTCTCAGGTAGCCTAGGCTGACCTTGAAGTATACATAGAGCTGAAAATACCTGCCTCCAGGGTATGCTATACCATGCCTGGCTAGTGTGTGTGTTTGTTTTGGTTTGGTTTGGCTTTAAAAAATGTATTGGGGATAGAAAGATGGCTCAGTGGTTAAGAGCATTGGCTGCTCTTCCAAAGGACCAGGTTCTGTTTCCAGTACCCACATAACAGTTAACAACTGTCTGTAACTTCAGTTTCAGAGGATCTGATGCACACATTTCATACACAGACATTCATACAGGTAAAACATCTGTACACAAAAATAAAATCTCAAAATATATTTTAAAACAGTGTCTTGGGAGACTGAAGAGATGGCTCAGTGGTTAAGAGCACTGGCTTAGAACACAGGTTTAGTTCCCACCACCCACCTGTAACCCCATTTCCAGAGGGAATCTGACACTGTCTTCTTGTCTCTGCCGGCATTGCACATACGTGGTGCACAGACATACATGCCCACAAAACACTCATATACGTAAAAATAAATAAAATAAAACCAAGGTCTTAGTATATAGCCCGGAGGGTGTAATGTAGCCCGACCTTGAGCTGGGGCAATCGTCCTGCCTCAGCCTCCCAGTGCTAGGCCTGCAGGCCTGTGCCACCACACTTTGTTTCATCATAGAATGACAGATTTATTCATTTATTCCTTTGCTTTTACCCTTCCGTTACACAGAATTTAAGGAAGCAAGAAATTGGGTGTCAGAGAAATTAGACTTTAAGAAAAATGTCGATGTCAACCTGTTTGAGAGTACCATCCGCATCTTAGGGGGCTTGCTGAGCACCTACCACCTCTCGGGGGACAGTCTCTTCCTGAGAAAAGCTGTGAGTATTCCTGAACGAGGTTTCCGTGACTTGATGTATGGAATGTGGAGGATTTATTTTCAGTTTCCTCTTCAGTACATTTGGTTTCCTTCTGCATTGGTGTAGAGCTGCCACATGCTTTTCTTTGTTGCTGTGTGTAGCAAAGTCCCTCGGTGCTGTAGCCTAGTTTTGCCGTGTGATGGGTGTTAGCGAGCCACCAAACTGTGTTTTTCCGCTTGGTGCAGATTGGTGATGAGGAAAAAGCTCTCACACCTGCATCTCTATTGTGCTTCGTGTTAGGAAGATTTCGGAAAGCGGCTAATGCCTGCCTTCACCACACCCTCCAAGATTCCTTACTCTGATGTCAACATTGGCACTGGATTTGCCCACTCACCGCAGTGGACATCGGACAGCACAGTGGCAGAAGTGACAAGCATTCAGCTAGAGTTCCGGGAGCTCTCTCGTCTCACCGGAAATAAGAAATTCCAGGTAGGGGCTAGAGAGATGGCTCCGTAGTTAAGAGCACTTGCTGCTCTTGCATAAGGTCCCAGGTTCAATACCTAGAAGCTACGTGATGACTCACAACCCTCTGTTTTGTGCCTTTTTTTGTTATTTGTTTGTTTGATTTGAATCATAGTTTCACCGTATCCTTCTGGCTTGCTTAAAACTCACTATATAAACCAAGCTAGACTGGGTGGTGGTGCCGGGGGGGATCTTTGTGAGTTCAAGGCCAGCCTGGTCTACAAGAGCTAGTTCCAGAACAGGCTCTAAAACTACAGTGAAACCTGTCTTTGGGGGGGGGGGGGAACAAGCTAGTCTGGAACTCATAGAGGTCCACCTATGTCTGCCTCCAGAGTACCGGGTTTAAAGATGTGAGTCACCACATCCAGCTCTGTTCTCTATAACTCCAGTTCCAGGGGATCTGACACCCCCTCTGGCCTCGGTGTGTACCAGCCTTGCAAGTGGCACAAAATAAAAATAAAATCTAAGGGACAAAAAAGAAAAAAACAATTTCAGACAGGATGGGCAGGTTCTAGATGGACATGATATCCCTGAATCTCAGCGCTTCTCACAGGTGTAATTGCTGTGTGTGTGAATTTCATTTTCTTTTTTTTCCCAAGACAGAGTTTCTCTGTGTAACAGTCCTGGCTGTCCTGGAACTTGCTCTGTAGACCAGGCTGTCCTTGAATTCACAGTGATCCACCTGCCTCTGTCTCTCAAATGCTGGAATTCAAGGGGTACACCACCACCTGGCCATTGTTTTTTAATTGTCATTTGTATGTATGTGTGTACTTACTATGGTGCATGTGCAGAGGTCAGAGGACAGCTACTGTCTCTGTCTTTCTAACTTTATATAAGTGGATTCCAGGGTTCCAAGGATCAACCTCAGGTCCACGTTGCATGGCAAGTGCCTTTACCTGCTGGGCCATCTGATTGATTCTCATTGGTTCTCAATATGTCTGTTACATAAAACCAGCTATTAATAGCCTCCTCATCTTGTGAAATGGAAGCTCGTGCCAATTAAAGACTCTGTGTTTCCATTCCCAGCCCTTGACAGCTCCAGTCTTCTGTCTGTCTTTATGAGGGGATATGTATAAGGGACTGTGTGTAGAATCCACACTCTGCCATCTCCTGGTGGCTTTTCCCATTTAGCTTCTGCTGTGTTGCTGCAATTGTTGGGGTTCCTTTCTTTCCCTGGAACTCGCTTGGTAGACCAGTCTGGCCTTGAACTCAGAGATCCTTCTGTCTCTACCTCCCAAGTGCTGGGAGTAAAAGCGTGCGCCACACTGCCTGGCTGTTGAATATTTTTATCAGGAAAAGAAAGAATTGATTTTCTTCTAATGGTTTGTTATTTGTTTGTACGTATGTTTGAGATAAGATCTCATTCTTTCGACCAGACTGGCCTTGAACTTGATGCAATTCTCTTGAGTTACAGGCCTGAGCGATCATGCATTGGTTGTTCTGATACTGTTTAATCAATTGAGATCATTCTGGTTGATATTTGTGACATTTAAATGATTCTCATGCTCTGAAACCATCCTTTCCTCTTGAGCCAGGAGGCCTGGCAGGTTAATGTGTTTCTAAATTGCCTTGTTAGCTTGTTGTGGGGGAGCTCTGCTTCCATGTTGGTAAAGAATTTGGTTTTAGTTTTCTTCCTGCTGGTACTTTCATGTGGCTTTGGTGTTAGGATATTGCTGGCTTCGTGGGACAGGGCAGGAAGTGCCCCCCTTCCATTTCCTGAAGTTTGGGAAGAATTGACTGGTGTAAGCCCACTCTCCCCTTGTCTGCCACAGGAGGCCGTGGAGAAAGTGACAATGCACATCCACTCCCTGTCTGGGAAGAAGGACGGGCTGGTACCCATGTTCATCAACACGAACAGTGGCCTCTTCACCCACCCAGGAGTGTTCACCTTGGGTGCCAGGGCTGACAGCTACTATGAGTACCTGCTGAAGCAGTGGATCCAGGGTGGCAAGAAGGAGACACAGTGAGGCCTGACCCACTGCCTTGATGCAGGGCCCCAAGCTTCTGTCCTCGTCCATTGCTAGGAGCCAGCAGTGGTGCGGGTGGTTTGGCTTCCCTACGAGAACTTCCCAAATGGGATGAGCCATTCAGCAAGGCATCAGTGCCCACATGGCAGGTGCTCAAGGGCCTGTGCTTTGACTTGGGCCGTGTATGCAATGTCTGCTCCCCAGGGAGGGGCAGGTCTAGCAGTCGTGTATGGGTCAAGCTGAGCAAAGCTCCTGGTCCTGTAGCTCTAAGGAAGATGGTTCATGACCATGCCCAGAGTAACCTGATTTGTGATATTCACAGGTTGCTGGAAGACTATGTTAAGGCCATTGAGGGGATAAAAGCACACTTGCTACGGCAGTCTCAGCCTGGAATGCTCACCTTCGTGGGAGAACTTGCCCATGGCCGCTTCAGTGCCAAGATGGTAAGTTGTGTGGACTGGCAGAGCCTTTAGGAAGCTACTGCTTTCTTTGTGGCTTCCAAGGCCTTAGTTTTTTAGGTTTGTGTTTTTTGTTTTTGTTTTTGTGGGGTTTTTTTTTGTTTTTTTTTTTGTCAGAAGTAATAAGGAAATCTGGTCAGCTATGTGTCATGGCCACAGGTTGACCTTTGCTGCCTGGCTTGACCTATTCATTGTGATAGCATCAAGCAGAGCCTCCACATGCTCTGTGGTAGCAGGCATAGGCTCTCCCAGGGCCAGCTGCCTTCCTTGTGGTTCTGGAAGTGCAGCAGGTCTCTGAAGGTATTTGTGGGTAGGATGAAGGGGTCCAGAGGGCCTGAGTCAGTATGGCCCCCTGCAGGAGCCATACTGCAGGCTCTGGAAACTGCACTGTAGTTTCCCCTGGATTCTATGGCACAAATACTTTGCCTGGACTTAAGTCTGCATGTGACAAGTACTGCTTAGCCTCACTGCCCCTGGGTCAGGCTGAGTGTACGTGGTGGCAGCCAGGCAGTATGGACCTAGGTCCAGATGTACACTCTGCTTCCAGGACCACTTGGTGTGCTTCCTGCCAGGGACACTGGCTTTGGGCGTCCATCATGGCCTGCCAGCTGACCATATGAATCTGGCTCAGTCACTCATGGAGACCTGCTACCAGATGAACCGACAGATGGAGACAGGGCTGAGCCCTGAGATTGCACATTTCAACATGTACCCTCGGGCAGATCATAAGGATGTGGAAGTCAAGGTGAGCCTGGGTGTGGGCTGCATTTGGGCAGGGTGATGTCAGCAGGGCTGGATACTCCATGAGCCTCTTGCTCTGCCCCTAGCCAGCTGACAGGCACAACCTGCTGCGGCCGGAGACGGTGGAAAGCCTGTTCTATCTCTACCGTGTCACAAGGGACCGCAAGTACCAGGACTGGGGCTGGGAGATCCTGCAGAACTTCAATAAGTACACACGGGTGAGCTGTTAGACACCTCTCTGTGGTCTTGGCTGGTGACAGACATAGCTAGGTTCCTGCAAAGCTCAGGCAGGGCCCATGCTTGAGACTGCTATGGCACAGGTTGGGAAGAGCCAGCTTTCTGGGGCCTTCAGTTGGCTGTCCCCTAGTAGGGTGTGACCTTGATAGTGTAGTCATCTTGCTGAACTGAGTGGCATTGGAACCCTGTTGTCTAGAGGCTTACAGATGTCCAGTGTCTCTGGGCTTGCTCTCAGAACCCAAGCTTTTCTGAGAAGGGTTTCTTTCTCTTGCCCTACGGTGCCCATGGTTTATGAAATATTGCTCAGTGATCCAGAGTACTGCCCTCACCCCACCCCACCGTCTGCACCTGGAGTTCATGGTTCACCTTGCCCTCTCATTGGGAAGGGTTAGGAAAGGTGGTGGGACTAGATATGGTCTAGGTGTGATACCCAGCTCTTGGCCCCAAACCTCAACAACTTCATCTTTTTGCCTGTGCCTGCCCTAGGTTATGTTGAACAAGCTAGATGCTGGACATATCCCGTGACCATACTATTCTGGAGGGAGTTTCTGGTCACTCGGGTTGTTGGCATTTTACAGGGTCCTTGTAGCCATTACTTAGGTGGTCACTAGCCCTGAGTCTGCCCTGGGGTCACAGGTGCTGGGGTTGAGCAAGTAGCCTGGGTGACACCTCTTGCTAGTGGTTCTTCCTAAAGCTTGACTCTTCATATTGGGCCCAAGCTGTGCTCAACCTGTGTCATCGTGGCTTTGGCTCTGATGCAGGTCCCCTCAGGTGGCTATTCTTCTATCAACAACGTCCAGAATTCCCAGAAGCCTGATCCCAGGGACAAGATGGAGAGCTTCTTTTTGGGAGAAACGCTGAAGTACCTCTACCTGCTGTTTTCTGATGACCTGGAGCTGCTCGGCCTGGACACCTGTGTGTTCAACACAGAAGCCCATCCTCTACCCATCTGGACTCCTGCCTAGCAGGGTAGCACCTGGGCTGGTGACCAATGGCAGACTGAGGTGGGCCTAGCGGGTCTGTGACTTTCACAGGGCCCATGTAGTTTTGGGCAGCCATCAAATGTGATGCTCCTGCCCAGTTCTAGGCCCCTCCCGTCTCAGCTTTTCGTGAAGATATTGGGGGGGAACAAGAGTCAGATTAGCAGGTATGGGATTCAGGCTAACCAGTCTACCAGAAGCCTTGGACTTCCTTAAACTCATGTCATGACTCCTGGTTCCTGTCCCCAAATGACCCTAGTGGCTGGCTGCAAGCAGCCCCATGGTAGTCCCAAGACTACCTCCTGGGACCACTCAGGACCCCAGTGCCTGTGTTGAGTTCAGAGGGATAGCCCAAGTCAGTGAGGTGCCAGGCCTGGCCTGACGGCCTGTGCAAGTCCTGACCCACAGGTCTGGTGGGTCTTGTGGCTCTAGTGTTTACGGGTTGGACTCAGGGATCCTCCTGGCTACCCTACTGGGCTGGCAGGGGTTAGAACAGCAAACTTGTCTTATTTCCAGGATACCCTGGTATAATGTGATTTCTCAGCTGAGATGAAAGTGGACTTGGTCCCACTGTAATGGTCCTGTGTTGGGGAGGGAGTGGTATCTGGACTGTAAAGTCTGGACTGGCTGTAAGGGACAGCAGGTTCTCTGGGTAACACTGCAGTAACTGCCCCTAGAGTTAGAGCTGCTGTTCACTTCAGGTCAGAAGAGTGGGGAGAGCAGACTTTGGGGACATTCTACAGATAGGCCAGAATGCTTGGTTTGTGCTCTCAGAATGGTCTGAATACCACCAGCTGACTGGTCGGAGTACATTGTGGAGGAGGCACACCAGCAGAAGCATGTACCTTTCTCTTTCTCAGATGTTTGTGCCTTGGTGTGGGAGCCCATGGACACGAGGGTAGGGTAGGCCCTATCTTTGATATGTTGTTAGTGGGCTGTCCCTGGGCCTTGACTGGTAGTCCCCCATCCAAGACCAGGGTAATTTCATACAGCAGTGTAGGGTAAACTTTACAGAACCTAAGGCACCTCAAGGCTCTCGGCCTGTGTTCCCTGTGCACCCAAGATCTGGAGGTTTGACCTGCTCCCCATCTGCAGCTCAGAGCATCTCAGTGGCAGCCACCTTGTGCCTCTGAGGCACACTAGTTGCCCCGGGGACTTCCTGTCAATCACTTGTACCCCAAACCAGCTCTAATCCCAAAGGTGTCTACAAAGAAGGACCTGCCTGGTGACATATCCTTAGGACTCACTCTTGTGTGTAGAGGCTGCCTCCCCACTTTGGGCTGTATCCCTTCCTGTTGATGTTGGCCTTTCCCCATGTTGTCCTCTGGACCAGGAGCCCCATAGACTTGTGAATGGGCAGCCTTAGGCTTTGGGCAAGGCCTGAGCAGTTGATAATTATGTATTTTCCATCTCTGGCCTTGATCTCCCAGATGTATTCTGGAGGGTGTGGTCACTACCAAGGGACAGCAACTGTCCTTGTGGCCCTCTGAAGAGTTGTCATGAGTCAGAATACCCAAGTTGAAGATGTCACAAAACTGCAAACTGATGGCCGCGTTGAAGCAGACGACATGGGAACAGTCATGGGAGGGGAGGCTGGCGCGGGGAAGGCAAATTCCCTCCCTCTCACCCTGAAGCACGAAGCCTGAGAGCTGGAGTCTGTGCTTAATTAAATGTCTAACTGGTCTGCAGGCTGTGTGCAGTGTGCTGTCTTGTCTAGAGCATATCCCAAGGGTCCTGTCCCTCCACGCCTGGACCCTGCCAGACAAGAAGGAAACATTAACCAACAACCATAAGTTTATTCGGTTCCTTCCGTCCACCACTAGCTTTGGTACCTCTTGCTTGAAGTTCACAGTAGGCAGGCCGCCATGATCTGGACGCCCTTCAGATGTAAGGCGAGCTGTCATGTCACAATTGCTAACATAAAATAAGGGATCTCTGGGTCCTGATGTGCCTTAGCTGGAAGAATGCTGCTTCTCAGACCCAGGGCACCAGGGCATTGCTGGTCGCTTTAGTCTGGCTTCCTCTACCCACTCACGGATGAGGGTGGCTTCCAGTTTACGCACCTCCACGACAGATGGAGGGTCTTTTGAGTTAGATGCTCTATGAAGAAGACAGACGAGGGGCCGCTCAGGTGGCAAGCATACAAGGTGAGTGAACTTCATGCCCATCCAGCCCACATCCCACCACTGGCCCAGAGTCATCAAGGAGGGAACTGGGTGGGCTGTGCCTCACTGCACCTGAGGTCTAGGTGATGCGCTCCCCCCTGGATGGTGACGGCAATGACCGATGTGCTCAGGTTGCTGTGAATCTGTTGGAGAAATCTGAGGCATGTGACCTGTGCTTTAAGCCACAGGTGGGCAACCCCTCTCCCGCCCTGGCACTCTTAACAGGTGCCAGCACTGTCTGGGGGATGCAGCTGAAGCAGGAGTGAGTTCACTGTGCAGCCTCAGATGGTGCCATTGGAAAAGAAAGGTGAGATCTGATGGACCAGATGTTAGACTACATTAAGTGATGTGGGAAAGAAGCCCTCAAGAGAGAGAAGAGCAGCAATGGCCCAGTGAGCCTGAGCGTGAATCTGGAATGGCAGAGGTTCTTTGAGGAGTCTGGCAAAGTGGGAACAGCAGCAAACACAGCCAAGCGTTGCCAAGAGTACCTATATGGGGTCATCTGCTGCCAGGTCGGGACTTACCCCGCCCCCTGCCCAGGGGTCTAAGTCACCGTTGGAGAAGATTATGTTGCTGGCAGCTTTAAGTTCTGAAAGGAACACAGTAAGTGGTCGCAAGGTATCCAGTATGGCCTTTAAAGCTGTGAGCTGCATCTGAGGGTGCAGAACCAGTTCAGGACAGAGGGTAGGACCCTTCCTGGCTCCCAATCCCCATTCCTTTACCGCCACCCCAGAAGCTGGTTCGTAGCCAGTCCCGCCGAGGCCACACGCCCCATGTATCCATGCAGTATCGCTGGCGTAGTTCCTCAGAGAACGGGATGTCAGGGAACATGTCCGTCACATTGTTGCTGTCAAAGGTCAGATTGATCTCCGTACAGGCCTGCAGGTAGCCCACAGTGAAATAAAGCAGGCAAGCCACACATTCCCACCCCTACACTTGGCAGTGTAGCTCCCCAGTGTCCACAAACCTGGTAGTCCCAGGCCTTGGCATCAGAGCCAGTGCCACAGCCAGTGGGGTCAGCACAGCTTTGATAGAGCCGATAGATGTCAAAACAGGGCTCCGTTCCAGAGGCGTTGTAGACCAGCCCTGGATAGGAGGAATGCTAGGACCCGCAGCCGGACACTACATGCTCAGGCCACTTCCCGCCCACCGTGGAAGGAAGGCGAAGGCAGGTGTGCCTCGGCAGGAAAGCACTGAGGTCCGTCGTGGAGCATGTGCCAGCAACTGGCCTGGCCTCTTCAACAGCTGATACCTGTCTCACTTCCAGCACCCTGACCCACAGCAGGGCATGACAGGCATGACTGGGGATTGTAAAAGCCTCAGGCAACTGGAGTGTGCTCCTCAGGGGTAGCTGTACCTGTTCCTAGGGTTGGCGGGAAGTCATACCACCCACTTGAGCATCTGCCCAGCTACAATACAAGTCTTGTCCTTTCAAAAGCTGAACTGAGTCCCCTCCTGCATCTCAGCCTACCAGAACCAAGCCCCAGTTCAGGGCTCTGGGTCTTTTCCTACTCAGCTCTTACTGTTAGGGTCTCTCTCTAGCCTTGGCTCATGAAGACCAAGGAGTAGACCAACCTGTTAGTGCTCGTAGGCCCATGATCCTCTGGTTCTCTCTCAGCAGCCGTTTACAGCCCACCTAGAGAAGGGTAGCAGAATATCTCAGCAGAGGCCCCTTGCCCTGCTTGACCTTCCCTGGTCCCAGAATGCGGGTCAGGGCTATTAGCCTACATGGCTACAACAGAATAGTATTGAAGTACCAAGGCAGGTAGCTGCGAGGCTCTTGGGCCAGGCCTGCACTGGGACCTGCACCTAGGGAGAGCCATTTCACCTTGACAGGGTTGGCAGGAAGATTGCCAAGGAAGTCGGTCGGGTATGGGTAGTCCATCATGGTGAGCACAGTAAATGCATTCCGAGCAAACCCAAAAAGCTGAGTCAGGTCCTTTGGGCTGGAAACTGATTGGCAGGTACCAAAATTCTGCCTGATGGTGTCATAAGCTGGGAAAAGAGAGGCCAGGAGAGGAGGCTGGGGAAGTTGCTGGCAAATGTGAAAGAAGAATGAGTACCCGAAGCGGGCATCAGGCAAAGAAGGACCTCCTCACCTCCCTGGAGGAACAAGTCCTTGATTTGCTGGAAGGCATCCCGCACAGCCTGGGCGCACTTGGGACTCTGGTCATAGAAGTCCTGGAGAAAAGACCATGGGTTGCTGCCGCCGCCGCCATACCTGCACTAGCCTGAGGTACCCAGGTACCCTCACTCACCGCTGTGACATCTTGGAAGAATTGGTAGGAGTCACCGAGGCCTGCAACAGCTACCACAGGAGCACTGGCTGCCAATGCCCCCGCCACCAGCTGGGGATACTTCATCCTCATGTAGGCACTCAGCATCCCCCCATAACTGGGGACAGAGCACAGGATTATGGCTGTGTAAAGTGCCTGCATGCCCAAGCCAGCAGCCTCACCCCATCCTCCAGGCTGAGGTTCCTGGGCTGGACCTTTCTCCTCCCCTTGGTCTTTCCCTGCTCAGAAGCCCAGTGTGGAAGGACTTGAACCTTTTAGGCCTACTAATTCTGACCCCAGGGCCGATGCAGATATAACCTTTACTGGGGAAGGGCACCTGTGAGTGCCCTGCCATGACCCAGCATGAAGATACTGCTGAGACAAAGTCAGGAGGGGCATTGTTCCACTAGTGTGGACAACATAGCAAACACAGTCTCTGAGGTCCAGTCCTGCCATGTGAGAAGTTAAGGACTGAGAACACGGGCTGGGCAGAGGAGTGGAGAGCATAAGAGACATGTGTGGCCCTTCTTGTATAGGGTGTCGCCAGGTACAACGAGGTGGGAAGCAGGGAAGGGTAGGAGTAGGACTCCTTCAGCTCGGGAGTGGGTCAGAATTGTGTGTCCTGAAGGTAAAACAAGGACCCACCTCCCTCCGAAGGCTATGACGGGAGCATCCGGGGCCCCAAGATCTTGCCGCAGGGCCTGGAGTAGCACAGCAAAGTCAGCCAGTGCCTGCTCCACAGTCAGCAGCTGCGTATATCCACGCTGTGTGGACTGCACACCGAATGGAAGCGATTTCCCGTAGTAGCGCTGCGGGAAGAGGGAAGGGATGGCTAACGGCTGCCTCTGCACTCCCCACCTCCTTCAGCTCAGGGACTGCCGGGAAACATCCAGATACCTACGTGCTCAGCGAAGACAAGCAGGGCCCCCTGCTGTGCCGCCAGTTCCACCATGAAACCAGAGTTGTTAGCGAAGGACCAGATGTCCCCTTCATTCCCGGTGTAGAAGAAAATGGGCCCCTGGCCCGCCTTCCAGAACTTATCTGTGGGAAGTGAGTTTCCGTGAGGGCAGAGACAAGCCAGCAGAAGACTTGACGTGAGGACCACACGTGAGTCAGTGAGGACTCACCTGACACCAGGAACCGCTGTCCAAAGGTTTTGTTGCCGAAACTCTCAAAGTTGAAGTGGTCCATGTATTGCTCAAAATAGTTCTCCTCAAAGTCAGGGTCTACAACTCCGTCAGCTGAGGGCAAGTGCAGAGGCTCAGGAGCTGGCAGGGATCATCAGGGACCCAGGAGGGTCAGGAGGGAGGGCGACCAGTAACACTCACCTCTGACCTGGAGGGTGCGCAGCCCCAGTGCCAGCAGCAGGACCAGGACCCGGGAAAGGACCCCATGGTTCACAGAGACACAAGGCTGGAAGCCCATGCCTGATTCTGAGATGGGCGCCGCCAGTCATGTGACGCAGGTCACATGACAGTCGTGGCAGGCCGGGCAACATCACGTGACAACTTTGCAGAACGGTCCTTACGTAGCCTTACGTAGCCAGAGAACCACTTCTACTCCTCTCTCATGCATTGCCCTCTGGGTCGTGTGATGCAATATTAAGGGTTCCCTGGGCTCCTACTGTGTTCTCACGGAGATGACCACAGTGGAGACCCAGGAAACAGAGAAGAGGTCTAGGGCGTGTCAGGACTGTGTGGTCTCCCAAGTGTCCAGTTGCTGAATACCACAGAGTGATGAGAGGATCCTCTCACACAGGGATACTGCAGGGTGTCCGAAGTCCCCAAGGGTTGCCGACCCCACATCTTCCACTGGCGGCTGGAGCTACGTCCTCCTTCGGCACACATCTGTGTGCTAGGCACTGAGAGCTGAGCTGGGACTTCACCAAAATGGACTCAGTCAGAATGGCCACCCGACCCCAGCCCTCAGTACTGGTCAGCACCCTTGCTTCGCTGACATGCCCATAATCCCAGGGTCAGGGAAATTGGGACCGTTCTTTCTGCCCTAAGAGAGTAGCCTCAGGAAGGTAGGGGTGTTGGGGATTGCTAAGGAGGCACAGTGTCTCTGAGAGAGACTTATCTAAGTGACACCAAGGATCTCTGAGCTTCGAGTGTGTAGTCACTCTGTTCTCCTGACTGCTGGCACTGTGCCCATGCCCACACAGAGTAGGGGAGACGAAGGGACAGGGCTCCTGTTGGAAGCTGCCCTCCATCTGGTGGCGGGGAGGGTACAGGGAAAAGAAAGAAC